ATGACTCAGATATTTCAGCGCTTAAGGTTGCCTGATATCTCTCTTAGATTTTCTTCAATGTTTTTAGTTCTATTTTTCTTTTTCTTTTTTTTTTTTTTTTGGTTTGCCTTTGTTATATATACACAAACCATGATTACTTATTGTGTCCTTTGCCAATCACTCCCTATCCCTTCTCCCCCTCCCGCTTTCTCACTTTTACTGACTAAAGGTCTGTTCTCTTTTTCTGAAAGTTCAACATTTTATCATGGTCTTTGTTTGTTTCTCAGCTCTCACTTATGAGTGAGGCCATGTGGTATTTCTCTTTCTGTGCCTGGCTTATTTCACTTAACATACTCTTCTCCAAGCTCATTCATGTTGCTGTGAATGGTGGAATTTCACTCTTTATTATGGCTGACTAGTATTTCATTGTGTACATATAGCATGTATTCCTTATCCAGTAGTCTGTTGATGGACATTTAGGCTGCTTCCATATCTTGGCCATTGAAAATAGAGCTGCAATAAACATGGAAATGCAGATATCTCTTCAACATGATAATTTCCATTCCTTTGGATACATACTCAGAAGTGGGATTGCTGGATGATATGGTAGATCTGTCCTTAGTTGCTTGAGAAACCTCCATACTTTCAATGATGGTTGTCCTAATTTACAGTTCTACCAACAGTGTAGGAGGGTTCCCCTTTCTCCATGTCCTCTCCAGCATTTGTTATTCTCAGACTTTTTGATAATAGCCAGTCTAGCTGGGATGAAATGATATCTCAATGTGGTTTTGATTTGAATTTCCCTGAAAATTAGTGATGGTAAACATTTTTTCATTTACCCATTGGCCCAGCCCATCTCAATTTTTAGAAGTCGCATTACAGATGCTCAGAAGCCTCATGTGGTTTATGCCTACAGTAATACTCAAAACAGTCCAAGACACTAGCTTAGGTCTGAGTGGGAATTAGAAACTTATTTTGCTGTACCTTATTTGGTCATATAGAAAGATTGTTGCTATTCTTTTTATTATAAGATGAAATATATTGATTTTTATTAGTGTGTGTGTGTGCTGTGTATATTTATAAATGTCTGTACATATCTCACACACACCAAAAATCTATATTTCTGAGTTAGAATGACCAAGAAAATTAAAAGACTTCCAAAGTAGTCAATAGTAATTTTCCAGTACATCAGGGGATGTTGACGGATTCCTTCCATTCCAGAACTACTCTAAATGTATGACTTAATTTGGAATAGACTGATGCTTCTTCATGTCTAACATGATTATAAAGTTTTGTGCATCTATTCAGTAAGTGGCTGATCATATATGTAATAATATTATATAGAGAGAAATATATATATCAATATACATATATATATATAAATAATATAATATAATCAGGCTATTTGGTTTTTTCTTTGTTTCTCTTTATTTTGTTTTGGTTTTTGCTATTGAATTGCATGAATTTCTTGTATATTTTGGATACCAACAATTTTTCACAGAGTTTGTGAAATGCCCTCATGTACACACATACAGAGTATATATATTTATATATACACACACACACACACACAC